TGTGTGTGTGTGTGTGTGTGTAAGGCAGTAGTATTTTTACTGCCTAATCAGATATTGATTTCATTTCTTATTTTTTCAAGTTTTTAGTTTCTTTTAATTTTGAAGACTTAACCTCTGCCTTTTATTACTACTTACCAATTTAAAATAATCAAATGTGTAAATATACTATTGATTAATGGAATGAGTAAGACTGATTCTTAAATATCCAAGGAGGCCAATCAGTTATGAACACTGATCTCTAGATTTGAGGGAATAAAGATAAAAGTAGGAAGTTGTAATACAGGGTTATCATAGGGGAAGTATAAGGTATGTTAGAAGCATGTGGTGGGGAGAACTCAACCTAGACTTTTAAGAATTCAAGAATTAAGGAAGTCTTCCTGGGGGAAATAACATCTAAGCTGAAATTCAAAAAAAGAGTAAGTCTGGTAATGAAGGCATGTGACAATTACATATTAAACCCTATAAAAATGGATGAATGTGGCACTTCAGGGAGCTAAGGAGACATGGTATCTAGGTTAATAAAAGTAATGGTCAAATGGGGTTGAAGAGATTATTAGTATTGTTTATAACTAAAAATGTTTTATGTTCCCAGGCTTCTTTGCCATCAGATGAGTCAGGAAAGGACCAGACCACCACAGGCAGAGTAGTTGCTGGTCAGATATTTCTTGATTCAGAAGAATCAGAACTGGAATCTAATATTCAAGAAGAGGAAGATAGCCTCAAGAGCCAGGAGGGGGAAAGTGGCACAGAAGAAATCAGCTTTCTAGAATCTTCAAATTCAGAGAGCAAGAACTATGAAGAACCAAAGAAAGTACGGAAACCAGGTAGTCTGGACATTTTCTTTGCTTTTACCTTATTTAGGAAAGGAGACAACTGAAATTTTACAGGTAGTGACTAAAGATGCTGAAGAAGGCTGGTTTAACTGATTATTAACGACATACAAAGTGTAGTTTTACAGGATTGTGTAGATTTTAATACATCAAAGTCACTTAACAGATTTGACCCAAGTTATATATGCTGAACTCAGACAAATTGAATTTGTATCATACTAATATCCTAGCATTTCTTACTGGACTTCTATATATAAATAAATTTCTCTCTGAGAAATTTTAAAAAGTAATAATATCAGAGTGGTACACAAAGCAGAAACTCAGGGAAGAATTGTCTAACATGGAACTTGGGTTATTTTCAGAATTGTGTTAGGATTTTTACTCCCATAACCTTGTCAATCATCCTAGGTAATTTGATTTAGGTGTTTATCCTTCTCCAGTTGAAGCTTATGTAAATTTTAATCCTCTTGTTACTTTCACCTTGACACCTCTACTTTTAAATTTAAAACTTGATGTTTTTCACAGTAATATGGTAAATATACTTTAAAAAATTAATTGTTAACGTGTCCATTCTGCCTTGTTGTCTGGCTACCCTTTTGTCATTTAGGTATTTCAAAGATCTCCACCTTACCCACTTATTATTCTATTATTAATTGCTCTCAGGAACTGATCTGGATTTGACCTATAAAGATTGGAAAATTTTTACTACAAATATACCATATTCATAAATAGGAAAATTATTTATCAGAAATTAAAAAGTACCTTAATCCCATCAAGTAGAAATTACAGCTATTAACAGTATGGAGAATCTCAGGCTTTTTTTTTTTTCTTGGTGTACACATAATTTTAAGGAAACTAAATTGGATCAAAATATATATATCATTTCACAGTGTGCATTTTATACTTAACAGTTTATCATAAACATTTTCCCATGTCCTTTACTATTCTTTTACAATTTAATATTTGAATATATTGTTTACAATATTTTGCTCAGAGATTATTTTATTGTGTGTGTCCTTGTGAACAGTGGTGAAAATTTTCTTAGAATTCTTAAAAGTGGGCTCAGCGCCTGTGGCTCAAGTGGCTACGGC